TGGCTTTTTGACCCCCATCCCTGAAACTCAAACTTCTTCATTGTGTCTCAGATCATCTGATTTAGTCATAACACTGATTCTGAATCCACAATGTCACATGCAGGTGAGCAGTGGGAAACACAAACGGTCAGATCTGACCTTAAGCATCCTCTCAGGGTTGGGGCTACAGGTCGTCTGAGACTCACCTGGTTTTTGGACAAGGCAACTTTATTTACACAGCACGTTGCACAGCGAGGCAACTCAATGTGCCTGGTGATCTTCAGTTCTCCAAGTGTGTTCACATTCACGTTCTCGTTTGTAATGAAGCTCCAGGTCAGTGGATAGAGCAGGTGTTTGGTCTGTTGGCTCATCACAGTGGTCCAGTTTCATTATTCCTGAAGGACTTCAGATAAGCAATCCATAGGGTTCCTGGTTTGAGTTATTCGTAAGGAGAGGTCAGTGAACACAACTCCAAGGTAAAAAAGGAGGGTCTGCTGCATGAACCAGAGAACTTTTACACTGAGGGAAGTGATTATAAAAAGGACAGGTGAGTTGCTAACCGATGATAAACAGGTGTGCTCAGGAGCTGATGGAAGGTGAAGGATAAACCTAAACAGAAGGAAGGGAATGTGAGTCTACAGGAACAAAAGGGCTAGCCAGACGACTGAACCGACACCACTATCTGAAAAGGGACGCATTTCCGCTGCATTCTGTCATTACAGATCAAAAAGCAGTCGGGAACCATATGGGCCAACCAGTCAGATCAATCAGCCAAAACAGGAAACATCTGGGTGAATCACTATCAGTCTAATCAGTGACACAAAAGCACACAAAACACTTCCAGGAATGCAGATGTGTGAAATCACAACAGTTCAGAGAAAACGACTCGGCACCACCTCCTCAACCAAAATGATTCTCTCTGTGATAAAAGTTGGTCTCCGACACCATTCCTACGCTTAAAAATCCCAAGGAACAAACGTCACAGCCAGCAGTCATGAAGTCTGTCGCTGCAGGGCATCTCTCTCATCTTTATTATGATGAAATGACTTTAACGTTCAGAAATCCTGGTTTTTAACTCTCTTAGTTTCACTAATAAAAGCCGAGCCACAGAGACATCTCAGTAACTGTGACGTGTTTCATCAGTTTTGCCTGGATGCAGAAATAAATGAGCCTTGATCCAAGCATCACACTGGGCAGAAGAAAAGGGCTGCCAGGAGAAGGAATAACTAAAACATTTCCCAAATCCCTGGCCTGCCTTCTTTTTGGCTAAATAGAAAAACTCTTGAGGATGAGGCCTTTTGGTCACAAGACACGTGTTCAGATGGTTATGATGGTTTTAATCATGTTAGCTCAATGGTTCCTGAACTTTCCTACTGGAGGACCCCCTTTCCCGTGACCAGCCAGGACCCCTACCCGACTCCTACATGCAGACGCACGTTAAATGTGATCATTCACTAACGTCATGCAGACAGTTAAAACATTTATATGGAGTTAGGGTGTGTCATTAGCTCTGTATAAATGTCATTTTTACAAATGATATGTTGCTAACCTCACAACCTCAGCACAGACCATCTGGGACCCCCTGGAGGGTCCCTGTGTGTGTGTGTGTGTGTGTGTGTGTGTGTGTGTGTGTGTGTGTGTGTGTGTGTGTGTGTGTGTGTGTGTGTGTGTGTGTGTGTGTGTGTGTGTGTGTGTGTGTGTGTGTGTGTGTGTGTGTGTGTGTGTGTTGGGTCATCACAGTGGATTAAAACACTTGATTCTGTTTTCAGTTGGACAATAAGAACAAACACACGTCAAATAATTTAGAGTCAGATCTGATTTTCTTTCTAAAACACAATAAAATCAACTAGAGTTCAAAAAGCCTCACAGAGCAGCAAACCGTGGGTTTTAAGAGAATTTAGCCTAGTTGGGTTTGATGCTTTGAATCCCCACGTCATACAGAAACATGAACAAAATCCATCCATCCATCCATCCATTGTCTGAACCCGCTTTGTCCATGTAGGGTCGCGGGGGTGCTGGTGCCTGTCTCCAGCGGTCAACGGGCAATCAGGCGGGGTACACCCTGGACAGAGAGCCAGTCCATTGCAGGGCAACACAGAGATACACAGGACAAACACACACACAGACACACACACACACTCACAGCTACAATTTAGACAGACCAATCAACCTAACAGTCATGTTTTTGGACTGTGGGAGGAAGCCGGAGTGCCCGGAGAGAACCCACGCATGCACAGGGAGAACATGCAAACTCCATGCAGAAAGATCCCAGGCTGGGAAGCAAACCCAGGACCTTCTCGCTGCAAGGCAACAGCTCTAACCACTGCGCCACTGCGCAGCCCTGAACAAAATCTAGCAAAATAAATATATAGTGATGTTTAGCAAAAAGTTAAAAAAAAAACACATTTTAACTGCGTTAACATTAAAATGTGTTGATTTTAAATTATAACATCACATTAAAACCATATTTTCCCTCAATCAATAATTCCCTCAATAATCAATTTCCCTCTGGGATTAATAAAGTATTTTTGAATTGAATTGAATTGAATGAACAAAAATTGTGCTGTTAAATTAAAGAAATGATGTACGGCAAGCCTTTCTAAGCAAAAAGTGACTTGATTCTGTGAATACATCGATCACATCTGATTTCAGTTCTGTTTGATGCAGAAATCTATTAAATTATCCCAGACTTAGTTGTAACATTTGATAAATGACCCAATAATAAAACCACAACAGCGACTTTCTTTTCCTGGCCAGTTTGAACGAGGCCACTGATTGGTGGAGGAGTTGCTCTCGTTAGCGTTCATTTGCTTAGAAATAGGGTTTTAATCTGGAGTTCCTTTGATCAGATCCAAGCTGCATCAGCAGGATTTAAACAGTCGAAACAAACTAAACATTCAGATGTGAGGATGGACAGCAACCCCAGAGTCCTGCAGCTGCGCTGCTTTTCCTCTGGAGCTGACTCGGTGCAGGGAGGAAACTTTTTTATCGTTTACAATCAGTTTAATGCTTCTTTTTATGGAGCCTTAATGGAGAATTTGTTGATTGGTTGAAACAAAGTTAATTCAAAGAAGAGTTCATCCTAATCTATTTGACTCACAAAATAAAGCCCAGATTAACATGAATCCTTTAACTTCCACAAAAAACATTTTGAACTTTGCAGTTTTTTTATTGATTTGATACAAAAAGTCATCAGAATATAAAATGTATAATTCTTATTAAGGTAAAAATAGGGTACTTTTTATTAAACATCCTGTTCAAACACATCCACATAATGAGGGAATATGTTTGTTCCTTCTGTTCAGTCGATGAAAGGATTAAAATGTGCTTTAACCAGCGGGTCACCTGCTATAAAAGGTAGTTTCAGCACATTTTCTGTGCATAAAGTTTCCAGGAGAATGACCCTAGAGATTAAACCCAGATTACAGAGGAACAGATGCATACATTAGCATAAATTACTGATTTGTACTGCAGGTTTCTACAAGCTTAAAATGGAGATTATTTTAGAGCCACAGTTTTTATGTTTCTTTCCAAACGTCACTGCTGTGACCCTCTGACCTGCAGGTCAGATTATTGTCCTGTTGGACCGTTTACTTTGTGAAGTGCCTTCAGATGACTCCTGTTGTGATTTGGCGCCGTATAAAAAACAGAACTGAATTACTAATATTATCAGTGTTAAATCAACATTTGCTATTAGGAGTCATATGAATAAAAAAGCACAGCAGAAGCACTTGATTATTTTTTCTCCTCGAACGTTTGAAGGTTTATGGATTTTTCTTTGGACATGAAATGTGGCCTGAATGACAACATGGAAATGAAGTTATGTGCCTGGATTTGCCCTGGTCTCCCATGGGCTTTCCCGTCTGAGCTCAGCACACACATGTGGTTGTGGGGGAGGTTTGGTCCCAACGGTTCTGATGCAGAAGGTCCCTCCGTCATGCAGAAGATGCAAGATAAGCAGTTATGGACCCGGTGTTTGGTGTGTTTAAGGACAGATGGGGGCTTTTACTCCAGACATGACACACAAGGGTGCAGCAGAGTCAGATTATTTTAATTATGAGTCTTTATAAAGTAAAACCATCACAAGATAAAGATTACATTTGATGCACCAGTGCTTCTGTAGCATCTTTATCCAAAGTCCCTCAGTAAGAGTTTGGAAACTAAATTGAAATAAACAACTATTTTATTTTCCTAATTAACATCAGTTTACTCGGGAGTGGATCTGTGGAGTTGAACAAAATTATATATTAACATTTAGAAATGAAGATGTTGGGGTTTTTATTTAAGCGTTTAATTATAAAACTTAAATAAGAGTAATTAAATCTGTGGTAAACAGCAGAAAACATGGAAGGGGGTTATGCTGCCTTTATCAGATAAACTCCATGGAGGGGTGGGGCTCACGGCTGCAACAGGGGAAAATACGCACATGCGCAGTAGAACTCAGGCTTTACCTGTCAAAGCAGGTGAGTCAGCACGTGCGCGTCTTTATGATTGTGTCAAGCTCGAGCAGTTCCGGTCCCACTTTCAAAATAATTTTTCATGCTGTGACTGTTTTGATGCTCTGTGTTGTTTTTATTGTGTGCAGCGCTTTGGTTGCCATGTTAAAAGCGCTTTGTAAACAACAGCGGAATGGTGAATCAGTGGTGTGAGGAAAGGTCAAAGGAGCTGTTAGAAGGATGGGTCAGGATCCGTAAGAACAGGAGGATGAGGTTTGTCCAGGATTGTACAATTAAGGAGCGATTAAGATAATTTATTAACAAAACATGAATTTGTTGCCAGGAAGAGTATTTCAAGTGTGATGCTGCAGGACCAACATCTCCTACTGCACCTTTAATAGTTAGAAGACTTTTTTATTGCATCCACAGAATTTAAAAGAATAACAACAAGATCTGCCCCAAGGTTAAACTGCGTGAACGAAAACCACCAGACAACAAATTGGTGGAGATTTTCTCCTCAATCAAACAAAAGCGTCACTATGGGTGGATCTGGAGGCTCTTTGGAGATGATGTGATAGTAGAGGAAGTGGGCTGTGATTCTGAGGGGGTGGGGTTGCACACAGGCTTTTATTCTGACTTCAGTCTCTAACTGGATTGGAAGGAGCTGCACGCCACCTTGTTGCGCACTTGGCGGCTCAAGCGGGCAGCTCAGCTTCACGGAGAGACTGAACCGAGAACAAGCCTCAGTCTCTGGATTCTGGATGGATTCTTACCGAGCAGCTTCATGAGAGAAGCTCCCAGCAGCCGCACCGTGAGCGCACAGACTACCCAACCAGGAGCTCAGAGAGGAGCCGCGGCGCTCGCGCACCTGAACGCGTTTACCTGGTTTGGGGAGGACATCTGGGCGTAGAAAGGTGAGGACAGTTTGGGCTTTTTGTACTCTACCTGGAAATGTTTTAAGTTTTATGATGAAGGTTTGGATCAGACGGTGCAGGTACCTGTTGATGGATGAGAAGCAGAACGAGGACAGCTCGCTCGCGCGCACAGCATGCTCTCCACTTTCACTTCGCCAGATCAAACTTCAAACTTCTTTTCTTTCACTAAAACAACACGATCACCCCGCCTCATAGCTTTAAACAGGAGGAAATCAAATAGTTCCCACATGAGATGAGTTAATATTCGCACCTGCAGGTAAAGGTGAGGCGGATTCTAACGTATCCACTCCTGCTTTTGGGGCGTGCGCGTGAGTCCCTCCTGTGTTAGGCGGAAAGTGCGCAGCTGCGAGTTTATTGTAAACACTTTCACTTTTGTCAGGTGTACGTTTTCCTCGTGTAGCCTACCTGGGTTTCTACAGGATCTGTGACGATCTATCAGGTTTAGGTCTAATCCAGATTAACTACAGATGCGTCAAATAGGAGCAAAGCAGAGGAAACCCCTAAAACTGTTTGTTTTAAATCTGCTGAAAGCAAGAGACAAGTTTGATGA